CAATCGCCTCATCGGGCGACTGCAGCGATGCCGTCGCGCACACTTCGCTACTGGATTCGTGGCGCGAAGAAGAAACCCGGAAGCGGGATAGGAAGTGGGCAGTGATGATGACGATGGTGATGATAATGCTGATGAAAATGAGGATGATGATGATGATGATGATGAGGATGATGATGAGGATGATGCTCACGATGGTGATGATGATAATGATGATGATGATGCTGCTGATGATGATGATGCTGATGATGCTGATGATGCTGCTGCTGATGATGCTAATTATGATGATGGCGACCCCGCTCTCCCGAGGGGGGGGAGAGGCAGCCGCCGACCCGCGGTCCCCCCCGAACTCTCCAATCAGGCGCGTTGCTCCGAAACGCCCCCCACCTGTCGCAGGAGACCTCGATCGGTCTCGGCGCGGCACAGCGGCAGGCTCACCCACTCACGGGGCACTTGGGCCCCCTCCCCAGGGTTTCCGCGCAGACACACCCAAAACTGCACCCGTCTCAGTCCGTCGCCGAGAGCCCTTGAGCCTCAGCCTTCACGGCAAATGTTTTCGCCCCTGTCCATCCACGTCGCGCCCCGCGGCGCGGTCGCCCCTGACCCGGTCTATCGCGCACGACACGAGCTCCTCCGCAGCGCCGCGCTGCACCGTGGACGCGGCCGCCAGCGCGTCGAGGCTGACGCGGTCGAGGAAACGCGCCTTCTAAATCGGACCCCCGGGCCGAAAAGCTCCGAGTCGCCGATCCCATCGGAGAAATGCTCGCCGAAGTTCTCCGCGAGGCAGGGAGGCGCCGCCGCCGCCTGCTCGCCGCAGGGCCCCGCGAGCTAGGCCGCCGCCGCCGCCGCAGCCTGCTCGCCGAGGGGGCCCCGCGAGGTAGGGCGGCGCTGCCGCCGCCGCCGCCTGCTCGCCGACGGACCCGCGAAGTCGGTCGCCGCCGCCGCCACCTGCTCGCCGACGGGCTCCGCGAGGCCGGACGCCGCTGCCGCCGCCGCCTTCTCGCCGAATGGCCCCTCCGCGAGGTGGGGCGCCGCCGCCGCCGCCCGCTCGCCGAGGTGCGCCGCGAGGCCGGGCGCCGCCGCCGCCGCCTGCTCGCCGAAAGTCTCCCCCGCGAGGTAGGGGGCCGCCGCCGCCGCCGCCCGCTCTCCGCGGGGCCCCGCGCCGGGCTGCGCGCAGTGCCGCAGCGGGGCGAAGGGCCGCGCACCGCCGCCCGCGCTGGCCAGGGCTGGCCCGTCGCCTCCGCCAGCAGTGAAACCTCCAGCTCGCCCGCCCGCGCTGCTCCGGACGGCGGCCCCGGCGGGCGCGCGCGGCCCGGGGGCGGCGCGCGCCTCGCCCAGCTCCCCTGGGCCAGGCGCTCCTGCGCCTCCGCGAGCACTTCTGCTCGGCCGCCAAACGGCCGCCCCACGGTCACCGCCCCGCGGTCACCGCCCCCCCGAAACAAAGGGCGCGGCCGCCCAGGCGGTCGCCCAGCGCCCAGCGCGCGGCCAGGGCCTCGCGCAGGCCCCTCGCCCTGCAGGCCAGCGCCGCCGCCCGCGCGCGCACCCGCCCCGCACAGCTCTGACGCCGCAGCCGCCGCGCCAGCGCGCGGGCGCTAGCCGCGGCCCACGCCCGCCCATCCACGGCCGCTGGAACGCCCGCCCGCGCGCGCCGCGCGCGGGCCACACTAAGCCAAAATGGCAATGGCTGATGATGAAAATAGGGGCACGTAGCCTGGCGAGCCACGCGTATTATTTGTCTCAGGCGGCGAGCGAGCGGGCCGCTGCAGCCAGCGCCTAAAGGCGCGCGTGATTTTGCGAAGGAGGCGCGGGCCCCGGCGACCGCACCCTCATCGCGCGGTAAAGTTTGAACGCCAATGCGATGAGAAAGACGGCGCGCTCCCGTGAGGCACCCCCGCAGGCGTGGGCATGAGAGGCAATCGGAAATGGAGAAGTCTGGCATACTCTCGCACCCGAGGACACATCCACGCTGGCCCAGAATGTGCATCTTGTGGAAGGTGACCCACCCACCCGCCAGGTTCCTGACCACAGACCAGTAAACGGTGGGGCGAGAGGCCGCCAGGACGGTTTTCAGGGCGGGCCAGCGGTGCCAGGAGAGGAACTTGCATGTCGGGGTACCACGCTCGCACGCTCTTCTGCAGCGTCAGGTGCAAGCGGTCGGGGCATAGCTCACGGGTGAGCGCGCGAGAGTACACCCCCTGGAGCTCCGGTCGTTTTTGAAGCATCTCAGCCTGGGCAGCAGCCTGGGAGGCCTCAGCTGCCACTACGCGCTGGGGGGCCGAGGGGTTCTTCGGGGGCGCGGGCGACTGCAGGCGATCGTGCAGGAACTGTACCACGGCGCGCTGATCGCGCCAGAATGGTGGGCCTCACAGCTCTTGGACACGTCGCACGAGCGCGTTACCCGAAAGCGACTCCTCAGAGAGCCCAGAACACCATGCATCACGCCGTGTGATCGTCGCGCAGGCCGCGCGCCAGCTCGCCGCTGCAGCGCATGCGGCGATGGACTGCAGGAGCCCATGCTCGGAGCGACCATAGATCGGGGCCACTTACAGAGCTGAGCTGGGCGGCAGCTCCAACAGTTTGCGCAAGCATCGCAGCTCCTTCGACACGAGCAGCTTGGGCGGCGGAAAGAGAATTGGGCCACGTTGCCCACGGCTGGGGGGCTCGCTACTTGGCAGAGGCGGAGGGGGGCGTCAAGAGGCGAGTCGGAGGCCGAGGCGTTGAGGATTACCTCCCACCACTTTGGCGTGCAGGCTGCCCATTGCTGGGCATTGGTGCTATCGGGTCCGATAAACGCCCCCAGATATTTGGCCGATCCTGCTATCGTGGAAGACTGCCACTTCGGCGTGATGGCCCGGAGGACCGATCGCACGTCCTCGACGACGGTTGGAGCGCATTCTGCCCACAGAGGCACAGGCACACATTTGAGAGGGCGGAGGCGGAGACAGGCGAGGCTCGACGCGGAGGTGAAGGCGGGGTAGAGGCGAGAGAGACACACCGTCTTCAAAAGGGCAGCCCCTTGATCATCCGCGCAGCCTCCGAGCGAGCCATCGCGAGGGTCTGGAGGAGGCGCCAGCTCCAGCGCACGAGTGATTGGGCCCATGCCGAAAGCCCAGGGAGAGCCACTAAGTGGGCACCCCTGCATCACGCCTGGGCTGATAAGCAGCAGCGGCGCGACTTCGTCGCGGATGCGAGTCGAGGCCAGGGCGAAGGCGCACATGCCTCCAACCGCGGCCAGGTACCCAGGAGGAAGGCCCATGCGTTCGAGGACCGCAAAAAGCCACGTGCGATTCATGCTGGGGAACGCCGACTTGATGCCAAACGCCACAAAGAGAGGCATCCGACAGTCAGCGTCTTCATGGAAGCCGACCGCTCTCGCGCATGCATCTAGCTTGGCAATGTTATGACAGAAATTGGGGCAACTGATGAGCCCCTGTTGGGTTGCGCGCACACGTTCCTGGGTTAACTTCGTCAGCAGGAAATTGGTTGCTGACGCCATAGCTTTGGCATCACAGTTTTGACAGATAGCGGGCGCACCTCTGATGCATCGCGAAGACATCCCCCTTCGGCAGGAAAACCCAAATCGAATGGTCCAGGGCGGGAGGGGCAGGCAGGGAGCTGAAAAGGCGAAGAAAGATGGGGCAAAGACAACCCATAATGGTTGGGACGGCCAACCATGCCTGGTATGAGAGGCGGTCAATGCCAGGTGCCGAATTCCGTCCACGCTTAAAGGCTTGCATGAGAGCATCCTTGGAGGGAATCGGCAGGTCAGCAACTGGGAACGCTGGCGACACCTTATCAAGGAAAGCTGCGATTTCAACCCGAGAAGCACGTTTGTCAGAGAAAATCGGGGACGGGCAACGTCTTCCGGCTCTCTGGCCACCGGCGGGAGCAATGAGCCTCCATCATTGCGCTTCGGGTTTGGGGCAATCTGACTGGTTGTGACGCCGTGCAAGACAAGACGCTTATAAAATTGTGCCCAGAGCGCCCCACGGCGCTAGAGAGTACGTTGAATGCGTCGCTGTGCTTCGATGGCCTCGCGGCTACTCCTGCGCTCGGGCCGCACGAGCAGCCGCGAGGCGTTGGGACCGTTCATACCATGCTTGGTTACTGCTAACAGCAGCGCTTTGAAACTCAGCCGCATCGCACAGCTGCGGGGGGGGGGTCCTGCAACATTCGAGATTGTTCGCCCTAGCTGTGCTTGCAGCCAGTCGGCGAAAAGTGGCAAGGTCGGAGCGCCCAATGGCGCGCGCAATGGCACGGAGCGTGAGCCTCCCACCCCCCAGCACGCTGACGTCGCCCGTGCCCAGCGGGAGCTGCTGCAGCTCGTTGCGCGCCAGCTCGGCCGCAAGGATCATGATCTGCTTCGTGGCTTCGAAACGCCGCAGGTCAGTCATCGTGTCAAGTTCGGCTTCGTTCACCATCTTGGTGAGGAGAGTCTTATACTGATTGGAGCGGAATATGAAATCAGGGATCGGGCACTGGTCTATCACGGGCGGCTTGCGGTTCTCGATCGTGAGCTTGATCGTGGCGTGGTCACTAAGCCTCCTGTCTGATAGCATCGCCGAGTCCCGGGCGACGTTCAACTCGCAACGCAGGGAGGGGACGAAGGCGGGAGGGAAGGCCACAAAGACGCGATCAATCGTGGTGCCCGTCTGACGATGCTTGGAGAAGAAAGTCGGGATCACAGAACCGAATTCCACCATATTCGTTCGGACCAGCTGTCGCCAAAATTGTTGGCTATGTTGGAATTTACCCTGTTGCGTCTGATGTTGTTGACGCGCTTGTGGCATGAGGTACGATTGTGAGGGCACATCCGAGAAGTTGAAGTCACCAATCGCGGTGAAAGTGAAGCGCAACGGGTCCGACAGCGCCCATGTGGAATGCATGATCCACTCCTCTCGCAGGGTGCTCGTCTGGTCAGCCGTCATGTCATAGTTGTGCACGTTCAGGATGATGACGATGATGATGAAGATGATGATGATGATTATGATGATGATGATGATGAGGAGGAGGAGGAGGAGGAGGAGGAGGAGGAGGAGGCGAAATCAGCAGGGGCTTCTCGCCGTCCACTCCTCGAGCTCGAACGTCGGGCGGGCATCGCGCTGCAAGGCTCGCTGGGGAAGCGAGCACGCGCCCGCAGACCCCGAGCGTGGAGCGCTGGCCCAGAAGGCCCCGACCCACCTACAGTGGTCGGGGCCTCTGCCGGCCGAGAGAGGACCTCCCACGAGCTAGAACCTCACGGAGAGATCTCCACGGTGCGATCTGCGTCACCCGGGAGCCCATGGGGAGCGGCTGGGGCAGCTCGGACCGACGGAAACAGACCAGCAGCAAGAGGACGCTGACCATACTGACTACCTACCAGACCACCCCAACCCAACCCGAAGACCCGAATCTCGGGATGGGGGGGGTAAGGGTTCCGCATGTGTTTTTTCTATGTTTCCCGACCCCCCCCCCCCACTAGAAATCGAGGGTAAATCTGAGCCTTCGGGTTGGGTTGGGGTGGTTTGGTGGGTGGTGACATACACCTGCACCGATCCTGGGCAGGCCGATCCTGCTCCCAGGATCGATGCATACGCCCTCCTGGCTTGGGCAAAGGGGCGATCCAGGGCCCAGGATCGGCCTCGCCAGGATCGGTGTGGGCCTCGCCAGGACCGGTGTAGATGTATGGCTGGCGCCCTGCCGAATTAGCGCACCCGCCACTCCAGCGCATGCAGACCGGCCGTCCCGGCGGGGGCGGCAAAGGGCCTGGCCTTGCTGCTCAGCGGCGTGCGGAAGCCCACGGACGCCCCAGCGAAGGGCTTGGACGGCTGCTCCGCGGAGAGGGGCGACTCAAAGTCGGCGAGGGTGGCCCTGGCGGCCGGCTTCACCGAGGTCACAAACTCGGTGCCGTCGGCGGTCGCTTTGGCGTCCTCGCCACCGTCTGCGAGGTGGAACCGGAGCGTCGGGTCGGAGCGAGTGCGGTGCAGCGGAGGCTCCTCTCTCTCCTCCTGCGCCCAGCTGACGGCGTCTATGAAAGTGTTCTTGGTGGTGAGCCTGACGGCGAACATGTTTGTGTACTTGACTCGCGGATGTTGGAATCAACTTGGAGGCGGCCGGGAGGTGTACACTGGATGGGGACCAGAGAGTTGGTCAAGATGGGAGGGGGATGAGGCCAAATCCGATGAAAAAGCGATTCCTGGACCCCTCCTGGGGACCATCTCGTGCAAGTTGTCACCCAGGATCCGTTCTTGGCGGTGCCAGGGCCCGAAAGGAACCCCCAGAGGCCGAAAAGGGCAAACATCCTTCCCGAACCCAGAACCTCGAATCCACCCGCCCCTCCTGCACCCATGGCCGGCTCCAAGTCTCGCGGACGTCGGAATCAGCAGGCCATGAGGCAAAGCCAGCGCCAGCAGAGCCTTGGCGGCAGCGGCCCTGAGCCAGAACGGTCACCAGCGAAGTGGTCCAAGGGACCCTTGGGGGCTCCCTCTCCCCATGCATTCGACGTTCCCTGGAGATCTTAGCGCTGCATTTCGGGCGTGGTCGCCCGGTTTCGGGTCCTGGGACCCTCGCAGATCGATCCATCTCGAGAAATGCTGCAGACAGATGGGGTCTAAGGATCTGGCCGTGATTTTCGCGATGTTGCAATGTTCTTGGCAACGTCAGATCCGTGGCTTGTGAATTGTTCAGTCGGCGGCCCCAGGGGTCCCGACCCCTCCTTCCATGAGGGCGGTGTTTCGTCCCCGATCCATTTTCGCTGCCTCGGGGTCCCGAGGAGAGCCCTCAGGGGCCAGAATCGGGGATGAACGCACGGATTGACAAAAAATCATACCGTCGGAGATCTGGGTGGGGAGACTCGAGCGTAATCGCGGTGCCACCTCTGGGCCAGCTGGGGGGCGCCCTTGCGCCTGAAGTCCACCTCCAAGCCTGCTCGATGCTTTGCCTCTCGAGGCCCCCGGCAGGCCTGAGCTGGATCGAATCGCGACATCGGATCGGGAACGCATCGGATCCCCAGAAAATCGCCCGAATCGAATCGAAACCAGATCGCCGCGCCAAACTCGTGCTGGCCCTGGCCGGCCCTCAGATCTGACGTTGGAAAGAAATTGGACCATCGCAAAAATCATCAACGGAATCCCAGACACAATTCTTCTGCGTCGTTCTTCAAGCCGGCTCGATCTGAGATCGGGGAGACGTAAGACTCGGGTACGAGGGACTCGGGTTGGCCCGACGGGGCCCTCATAAAAATGACGAGGCCCAATCGGAAATCTGACGCGAGCTCCCGCTGCAAGCATCCCACGAAAACTGGACGCGCTCGTCAAAAAACCTCGGCAAACCCGAGTTCCGGCCTACTCGAGTCTTACGTTTCCCCGATGTGAGGGTCCCAAGGCCAGAAACTGGACGAAAGCGCCCGTAGTGAACGAAACTGCAACGCCAGGACCTGAGGGCAACGCGACCATGTTTGGGGGTCGATTTTTGGAGTCGTGGAAAATGGCACCAACACCAACACAGGGGGTGCCTCCAACGGGGGAAGATGGTCCAAGATTCTGGCGTTGGTGGAAATATACCCCACCATCGCCGAGATCGGGCTCATATCCCCTCGGTGGAGGCACGCGGATGAGAATCGACTCGAATCGATTCGAATCGGAATCGCGGCCCCAGTTAGCGAACCGAATATCGTATCGAAGCGGATCCGCGGCGGCCCTGCCCAGACCCCCGTGGAGCCGTGCCGCGAGGCCAGCTCGGGGAACGCTCCGGCGCCAGCCCTCCCGGCAAGAAGGCCCCCCGACGACGACGACGACGACGACGACGACGACGACGACGACGACGACGACGACGACGACGCAAGGAGGTCTGGGGATGTCTGCGCAGGAGCGGCAGAAAGAAGCCTGCGGTGTAGGCTGGGTGCTCCAGCAAGGCCCCCCCTGCGAGCAACGTGCCGAACGGCGCGGAAAGAGCGGGCCCACTATGAGTTCTGGGCGTCGCGTGTTTGTCCCAACCATCCTGTGGTGTCGCGTCCTCATTTTGGATCCGCAGCGCCCTCCTCCTCCTCTTCCTCCTCCTCCTTCCTCATCCTTCCTCCTCCTTCCTCCGTCCTCCTTCCTCCTTCCCCTCCTCCCTCCTCCCGCTTCTGCCCTCCGCAGGTCCTCATCGTCATCACCCCTGACACATTTCGTGGCCCCATAGGGAGTTCCACCGAAGGTCCCAGTGGCAGGAATCACCAGCGCCCCCCCTCCCAATTTGCCCCCCACCCCACCGTCCTGCTTGTCACCTACTTTGCGATGCTCGCAGCTGCGACGAGGTCGAGGTCCGAGCGGATTGGTTTGTTCTGTCCCGGCGCTCTTCCTCATCAGGGGCCGTGCTTGGGTCCGCCCCACGACCATCAGGGAACGTTTCCAGGACGAAGCGCCGACCCTGGAAAGAAGGGCCGAGAGCTCTGAGGGTTGGGGGTCCTGGAACGGTGCAGTGACAGACCGTGCGGTGATCTCGGAACCCCCAACAAAGACTTCACCGCACGGAACGTCATCGCACGGTTCTGGTCGTCTCTAAATCGTGTCCTTGGGGTCTCTTTCTCTCAGGCTTCGGGGTCTCGTATGGATGTGGAATCTCGCACGCATGGCCATGGTGGCCAGCGTTGTCTGTCACTGCCCGTCTGTCTATCTGTCTGTCTGCCTGGTCGGTCTGTCTGTTGTCTGTCTGTCGTCCGTCCGTCTGTCCTGTCTGTGCTGCCTGTTCACGGCCGCGCGATCGGCAACAGCGACTTTCCTAGCGGGCCGCGATGCCCCGGCGGGAAAAGGCGAGGCGCAAATTGGGCCTCGTGGCCGACTGTGGCGCAGCAGGGGGGAGCTGACTTTCGCCCACGCCGTTGTTTGCGCTCAGCTGGTGGGGGCCTGGGGGCCGCGGTGCTCTCCCAGGGTGCCCCCTGCCAGCTGCACGGTTGAGACCTCGTGTGAAAGTGTGGAGACCTCCCAAGGCACGGTAGTAGGCGACGAGGTGTTTAGACCTTGGAGGCCTTTGATACATCCAAGGAAAACGACACGAGTCCCGAAACCGCGCGGTCACCCCGAATCCGCGCTGACTCACCACACGGTGTGGTCACTGCGCCTTGTGGGCGCCAGAGAGGGCTGCGGATCGGAAAGACACGACACGGGAGGCCTGGGTCGCCCCCGCAGTCCGGCGGCAAACATTCCTGCCGCAACGGCGTGGAAACTGCGCAGTTTCTGCTGCGGCCCCCGCTGCGGAAGACCCCCAAAGCCCTAGAGGCTGTCGACTCCACCCTTCCGTGTCGCGCCGAGGGCAGGTCGGTCAGCATCGGACCGGGAGATCGTATCGAATCGAAAGGTGCGTCGGATCGGGCTGCATCGGCGAGGAGCCGAAGTCGAATCGGATCGGCTGCACCAGGATGTACAACAGCGCCAAGCAAGAACCGGGCCGCATCGGATCGTCGAGATATCGGATGGGACCAGGCCAGCTGGAATCGACACCAAATCGGATCGATCGGATCTAAATTCGGCGGGACGCAGAGGTGGGAATGAGAGGGGGCTGGCCTTCTCAAAGGCGGTGGGGCTTCTCAAAAGTCCCCCAGCCCTCTGAGAAGCCGCCTGTGCCTTCGGAGCAGACGCAGAAAGTAATCCCAGAAGGCCCTGGGGTCTTCCGAGCCTTCTGAAGAGGCCCGCCCCCTCTGCCTTCCCCCTGGGCGCGCCACCGAGACATGAGCCCAGACATCCGATGACATCTGGTGTCTTGATCTGCCCGACCCAGGGCTGGTTCTTGAAATCGTTTCCTGACGGCCCGATGCCCCGAGAAGGGCCCCCCGGAGGCCGAAAGCCGCCAACAAAAACTGTCTGCCATGATTCTGTCACGACGCGAGCATGGTTGGAGGTAGTTTTTCTGCAGGTTCCCGGGGTTCCGCCAGATCTGACGTTGCCACAAAAATACCGCATCCCGAAAATCTCGACAAGAGCCCTAGAGCTAATTTTTCTGCATCATGTTCAAGCCGGGTCGATCTGTGAGGGTCCTGGGGCCGGAAACCGAGCGAAGGCGCCTGTTGTGAAAATATGCAACGCCAGAACCTGAGGGCGAGGCGACCATGTTCGTGGACCGTTTCTGGAGTCTTGGAAATTCGCACCAAAACCAACACCGAGGGAAGATGATCGTAAATTCTGGTGTTGGTGGTAATCTTTCGGCCGCCTACAAAAAGCCCGAATATCACCAACATCACCGAGCCCGGGCTCATATCCCCTCGGTGGAGGCACGCCGCCGATACTGCTGCTAGTGTCAACCTCCAGGCCTCCGAGGTTAGACGTCGGATGGGATCGGGTCAGAGCCTTACCCAGAGCTGCTTTAGGTAAGGCTTCGGGCTGCGCGCACACTGCCCCCCATGCAATCCCAGCCGGCATCTGCAGGCATCCCGAATAGGCCCAGCTGGCCTCAACAGGCCCCCGATTAGTGCAGGGCGGTCTCAACACCCTGGCGCCGCCTCTAGCTGCGCCCCCGGGGCGCGGAGCGCCCCAGGGATGGGGTTTGAGACCGCCCCGAACTCGGAGGGCCTGCTGACGCCAGCCGTACAACCTAGGGGTGGCTGTCTGTGCGCAACCCGAATCTTTGACAGATGGTCTACTATATAACCTGCACGAGCTTTCTGTCACGGAATCGGCTAACACACAAGTCGGGCAACCACATGATGGTGCGAAAAAGCGAGCTGGCACCGTGTCGGGAGTCAGCGAGAGGGCGGCGGCGGAAAGAGAGAGAGAGAGAGAGAGAAAGAGAGAGAGAGAGAGAGAAAGGAAACAGGGGCGGCACTCAGGACAGGATGACTTGGACTGGGTGCTGGTGTTACGGCCAAGGCTCCAGGTGGAGTCTTGCGAAGGGGCAGCCACGGCGGCACAACACTGACCTGCCAGGGTGCGGGTTGCGATTGTCCGAGCGATTCTCCGCAGTACGAACCTCGAAACACACCACCAGCTCTCAACCGAATGACGTCAATCATTCGAAATTCGCTGGACGCGGAGGGAGGGAGGAACCAGAATGGACGCCAGACCGCAGCCAGAGGCCCCAATGGCGGGCCAGACGCAAAGACACGAGAGGTACAGTACACAGTGTAAAGAAAAAACGCAGGTGGAGAAAAGCCCGAATGTAGAGTCCTGCCAGCCTTCTCGGCTTATGTGATATAGCTATGTGATTCACCTCCGCTTCCAAGCCACTCTTCGATTCGTGGAGGGGTCCCCCCCCCTCCCCCCCTCCCTGATGCATTGTTGGTGAGGTGCCAGAACGCCCAAAGAGGCTCCCGGAGGGCTTGCGATGCTCCCAGATGGCCTCCAAGATGGTGGTCTTCATCATGCATCCAAGAGGCCTCTAAAACGCTACAAGATGGTTACAAGGCCTCCTGGGGCCCACCAGTGCCATTCTTCAAACTCGCT